GCACTTCAGTAAAAGTTTATGACGGGAAATCTCGTTAAGTTCTCCGGCCTGTTCGTTAGATTTCTCGGCCGTCCTCTCGAGCATCGTTCAAGTGCAAAAAAGCTCTATCGCCAATTTCACGTCCAACGTGGAACTAAACCAAACTGTTTCGACACAGAAATTATATCGTGGTATCTTTGAAGGTTCATTTTCTTTCTGTCATAAAATACTTTACAGATGTACTTAACGTGAAATAAAGTTAACACGAATGATTATAAGTTTAGCGACGATTTTTATACTTACAAGGGAACGTATGAGTCGCTTAAAGCAAAAGTGGTGTAAGTCAATAAAAGGCGATTTCTAGGTACTGAGGGTTAAAGTAGAAGTTCGGGAAAATTCAGGAATATGAAGGAATGTTAAATCTCTCTTGCGCGAGCCTCTGTATAGTTATACCTTAAGATGTGGTGTTAATTCGAAAAGGTAAAGATTGACTTACATCACTTTTGCTTTAAAGGGAAAATATGGAAGTGTCCACCGATTTCGTTGAAATTTGAGTATAATGTTGTTCTCGTGAAAACACTTGACACGTATTTATTTTTATTGGCAACTATTCATTCCAAAGGGGCGAAAATCACTGCCAAAGTTGAGGCTGCGAAACATATTTCGACGAATATCTCGGAAACTAATAGGGATAGAGAAATTGTGTAAATTGGTGAAATTAGTACCTTTCAACGACGAATTCAATAGTGTAAACAATTCTGCAAAAAATCCATTTGTTTACATAAAATATTAAAAAATATCATAGCAATTTTTCGATCATTTCTCCAATTAAATTTTAATACATTTCCTTGAATATTTATTTCCAAAAACTGCACACCCAAGCACAAATTACGGATAAATCAGAATTTCGATTTTCGTATTACAAAAAAAGTTAGTATATTTCCTCCTCACCCCCATTTTTCCCAAAAATGACTGACTCTGCTGTCCATCGCTCACGATTGCTAACTTAGACCCTAAAATTCCCCGCACAACAATACTCAAATCGAAAATTAACCAGAGAACCAGCGAATAAAAGAAACGTCTGACAAATCCTTGGCTGTACTACTTGCTGCGTCTTCAATAACAGTATTTCCTCCCTTCCTGCAACAAAATCCTCGAGCAAGCCGTTCTTCCCGCCCAAAAAAAGGGAGAAAAATATACAAGAAATACCGCGTCCATCGTGGAAACTCGAGCGTTCCACGATCGTAAAAAGCTCGCGACCAGGCATGCAACATAAATTCGTCAGAAATCCGCGAGCGTCGCGAATATTCCCTGGTCGCTTTTGCATTTACGTCGCGGTATCGAGAAACAACGAGACGAGATCTCTCCCAACAGGAATTCCCCCGGTTGTTGTGTTACGGTGAGGAGGCGATCGTTTCGTCCGGCTGATAAATTTTTCCGCGGTGAAACGTTTTCGCAAGCGGCAGAGAAGAAGAGAGAAAAACACAAGGACCGCGGAGGCGACGTTCATTTATCAGTCTCTCTCTCCCTCTCTTTGTGTGTGCTGTGTGTTTCGAAAGCAGGACGAGATAAGACCGATTTTTCTGCCACACCCCGAGTACAGGCACTGTGTTTTTACCCTCGTCGAACCGGTACACATTACCTGTTCTACGTGATATCGTCGCACTTTTCGAACTTCGTCGCTGCGCTGTAGTTCTGTGGAAACATTTCACGATACCCGTGGGAATTGCGGAGAGGAGAAGTATTCGTGAGATATGTGGTTTCTTGTGTGTTTTTCGTGCTACGGAACCATGGTGCGCGGTGTATTATGAGGATTTTGCGGGAAATAATTTTGAAGGTTTAGTTTCGTGAGAGTTGATAAGCTTATTTCTTTTAGGATTTGCAGGTTATGTTGGATTGCGTTGTTTTGCGTTTTTGAATTTTTGAGGTTTGAGGGTTGTTTTGTGTGGAATGCGAAGAATTTGTGTTCGTCATTCGTCAATTTACGAAGACTGAATGGGTTGTTAAAAAATTTAGGTTATATTGACTGTCAGACAAAAGAAGAATTCTGCATGAGATAAACTAAAGTGAGAAGTTCATTAGGTGTTTAGTTTCGTGCAATGTTCGTGCCAATCAATTTCCACTGAAAGCAACATTCATGGAGTCATTGCGGTTTCACTGTCGGTACGAATTAAGGTAACACGGAAAAATTGGAAAATTTTGGTCACACCATTGGCGAGTATTCAAACCGCAATAAAACCTCAGAAAAATTCAATTTTAATTTGTTTTATGCATAAAAATTTGCTTAAACTTCGATTAAAAAACACGTGCCTTGTGAATTTATATTTCGATTAAAAAACACGTGAATTTAATTTTTTAAATTAAGAAACGTTTCTAAGAATTTTTATTTCTGAGAAAAATGCAGAAAGCTGTGAAAAAAGTTCTTTGAAAAGGAAAAGCAAGAGTGAACTATTATTTATCACGAGTGATGCAGTACAGTGCCGTAAATCTACTCGAATGGTAAGCAACGTGTTAAATCAGTGACTAACTACCTGTAATATTGGAATAAAGATTGGAATAAAGATCGGAATAAATCCATTTTAATGCTTATTCACTGTGTTCATGTAATCCAGGCAATCTCGATGAATCTTCTTTGCACAGAACCTATGAAAAAAAATATATAACTTTCTAAATACACTGCAAGACAGCAATGTTAACATTTCCCAGGTTTACACGATTTTCCATCCAACTTTTTCAGTAACTTTTTACATTTCCACATTTATACTCTACTGTTATTTCCTCGTATTACTTGAACATACTATCTGTATCCATTAATGAATTAATAAATCACTGGGGAAAAAATCACATCAGAGAAGCTTCGTGAGGCACTTGTTTTAATATTATTCCATCTTCGTATGTTACTTTGATGCATTCTTTATACTTGTTAACAGATCGCTAAATTATTCGAAACCTCAAAAAAGAAGTTTTTTCATAAAATAAGCACAAAGAAATTGTCCTCAAAGGTACCACTTTGCAAGCACATATCTTTCCTTCGACTGTGCTTTTTTTAATCTCATTCCATCTTCGTATTTTACTTTGATGCATTCTTTATACTTGTTAACAGATCGCTAAATTATTCGAAACCTCAAAAAAGAAGTTTTTTCATAAAATAAGCCCAAAGAAATTGTCCTCAAAGGTACAACTTTGCAAGCCAGATTCTTTTCTTCGACTGTGCTTTTTTAAATCCCACTCCATCTTCGTATTTTACTTTGATGCATTCTTTATACTTGTTAACAGATCGCTAAATTATTCGAAACCTCAAAAAAGAAGTTTTTTCATAAAATAAGCACTAAGAATTTGTCCTCAAAGATACCACTCCAATTATTTTTCCGTCGACACTACATTTTTTAATCTCATTCTATTTTTGCATACTACTTTAATACACTCTTTATACTTGTTAACAAATCACTAAAAGAAGATTCCCTCACAAAACAACCACAAAAAGCAGTCCTCAAAGGCACCACTCTTCAAGCAGATTTCATTCCTTCAAACTTACCTTTTTTAAACTCATTCCATCTTCGTACTTCACTTTGACGCATTCTCTATACTTGCTAACAGATCGCTAAATTATTCAAAACCTAAAAAAAGAAGCTTTTCCACAAAACAATCACAAAAAACCTGTCCTCAAAGGTACCATTTCACAACCAGATTTCTTTCCCTCAACCTCGCCTTTTTCCATCTCATTCCACCATCGTACATTACTTTAACCAGTTAACTGCGTTCGACGTGTATACACGTCAGTCGAAAACTTCATTTCGGTGGGGTTGACGTGTATACTCGTCGTGTAAAATAAAAAATTACCATTTACTATAAAAACTCGAAATTTAAATAAGAAGTAATAAAAATGTCATTTGGCGGTATGTTTCCTTTACATTAAATCAACTGAATTTCTTAAGATTATTCTTCTTCTTTAATTTTTCTTGTTCATGAATTTTATTATTTCGTGAGGATTTTTAAGTTTTTAATAACAATATCCTTTTCAGCAATGAATTGCTAATTTTTTATCGAATAAAAATGTAATCCTTCCTCGTTTTGCTTTACTTCTTTCGTCAAATTTATAATAGGAGCATTTGCCCTGCGTTCGACGTGTATACTCGTCGTTGCTTGATTTTAATTACGCATCCCGTGACGGATTTTTAAAACTAGATTCCGCAGTTAACTGGTT